GCGGATAGAAATGGGCTGGGATCTGTAATTAGGGATGCCTCATGTCCCAGATAACCCTGTGGAAAAGTATAAAAGGTTTCCCATCCCAGTTTCCTTCACTCGCTGCTCTGCTCCAAAACAGCTCCATCCCCACTGCTGGAAGGGTGAGTCCAATTTTTCTCTTCCCTGGAGTTTCTTTAGGAAACTGGAAGTTTTTCCATGAGTTTGGGTAGAATTGGAGTGTGGGACACTCCCTCCTCACCTCTGGATCTTGGTTGTGCTGGAGACCAAGTTCTTGTTACCCACAACAGCAAATTATTAAAACAAATTACAATCAAGGCTTTGAGCAGAGGCTCAAAGCAAACCAGAATAACAGAAAGGGTAGAAAATACAGACAGAGGGTTTTGTGGAAAAGGGGCTTGGAGGTTTCCAAGCAGGAGGAACCAGAGGATCTGGAGCTGCTCATGGGAAATTCATGTTAGGACCAATTTTTCTCTGGAAATCAAGTCCCATCCGAAAAGTTTCTGGGTTTAGTGAGGGATTAAAGCATCTCCCAACAACACTGACCCCGCTTTCTCACCCCTGAAGAACTGGAAATTAGGAAGAACATGGATTGCAAGACCAGACTGAAACAGCACCTGAAGCCTCAGGCTGGGTTTGCTTGGCCAGGTTTTGGTGGATGGGGATCCACAGAGGTGGCAGAACCTGTGGGCCATGGACAGGAACCCACTCTGGTTTGGTGGCAGAGCCTGTGGGCCATGGACAGGAACCCACTCTGGTTTGGTGGCAGAGCCTGTGGGCCATGGACAGGAACCCACTCTGGTTTGGTGGCAGAGCCTGTGGGCCATGGACAGGAACCCACTCTGGTTTGGTGGCAGCACCTGTGGCTTTGGTGGGCACCTGGAGGAGAAATCCTTGCTGGGCCACAGCAAGCAGGCAGGTTGGAATGATCACTGAAGGACAGATTTGGGCTAATGCAAACCTCTCATCGAGATATCCGGCCCCATTGTGCAATTCCCCTGCAGAATTCCTGCCCTAAACCTAATCCTCAGGGATTAACATCAATAATTTTTTTTTCGCACGGAGGTCGATCACGTGGAGCTCCTGGTCCACGTGACCCTGAGGAATTTGGGATTACAAACACCTCGTCTGCCTGATCCACATTGTCCATGAACAGATCCATTGGTCACTTCCCGTGAAATTCCTTCCAATCTCGTTCATAGGGACGTGAAGGAATTAATGAGCTATTAATAATTACAATGCTAAAAGCACAGAGCATCAAAGGGAAAATACGGGAAGCTGAACACAGCGGATAGAAATGGGCTGGGATCTGTAATTAGGGATGCCTCATGTCCCAGATAACCCTGTGGAAAAGTATAAAAGGTTTCCCATCCCAGTTTCCTTCACTCGCTGCTCTGCTCCAAAACAGCTCCATCCCCACTGCTGGAAGGGTGAGTCCAATTTTTCTCTTCCCTGGAGTTTCTTTAGGAAACTGGAAGTTTTTCCATGAGTTTGGGTAGAATTGGAGTGTGGGACACTCCCTCCTCACCTCTGGATCTTGGTTGTGCTGGAGACCAAGTTCTTGTTACCCACAACAGCAAATTATTAAAACAAATTACAATCAAGGCTTTGAGCAGAGGCTCAAAGCAAACCAGAATAACAGAAAGGGTAGAAAATACAGACAGAGGGTTTTGTGGAAAAGGGGCTTGGAGGTTTCCAAGCAGGAGGAACCAGAGGATCTGGAGCTGCTCATGGGAAATTCATGTTAGGACCAATTTTTCTCTGGAAATCAAGTCCCATCCGAAAAGTTTCTGGGTTTAGTGAGGGATTAAAGCATCTCCCAACAACACTGACCCCGCTTTCTCACCCCTGAAGAACTGGAAATTAGGAAGAACATGGGGAATCCCAGAACAAATGTCTATAAGCTGGTGTGGGCCGTGACCGTTCCTCTCTTCCCTCCAGCTCTGCCACCTCTCCAGGACGATGTGCTCCCGCAGATCCTGCCACAGCCACGAGACCTCGTGCCATGAGTCCCGCTCCTCCTGCCACGACTCGGGCGCCTCATGCCACTACACCATCCAGAGGCAGCCTGTGCAGAAGTTCAGCTACGTGACGCCCTGCTGCGCCCCGGTGCAGCCCTGCTACCCTTCAGTGCAGCCCTGCTACCCTCCAGTGCAGCGTTACTGCCCCCCCGTGCAGCCCTGCTGCCCCCCAGTGCAGCGTTACTGCCCCCCGGTCTGCCCCCAGGTCACCAAGAACATCTGCAAGCTGCCACCGTCCTACCCCAAGTACTGAGGGCACCCTGGATCGCTCCTGCCTTGGATGCTCTCCATGCCTGAAGCTTCAATCGGTGGCTCTTTATTCCCATTTTTAATTTGACCCTCGAGTTCCTCATCTGTGATTAGAATTGGGCTCCTGGTTTTGCTCTAATTTGGTTTAATTTGCTCGGCATGCAAGACCCAGCTCAGGTTGCTTCCCATGAAGCTGGGAATGATTCCTGCTGCTTTTCACCCATCTGACAGCCTCTAAAACAATAAAATTTGATTTCCAAAAGTAAAAGAAGTTCATGGTCTGTTTATTCTACGATGTTTTTTCTTCAGAATAATTGTTACCTCTGACTTCTTAGTCACCACTTCTCCCTCTTTTCCCCTCATGCTGTTCACAAAATGCCCCTAAAAATTCAAAATAATCAAAGCCAGCGATTCCAGAGTCATTCCTGGAGCAGCTGAAGGCTCAGGGAACTCACCTGCACCCTATTAATTCACGTATTGATACACAGAATAGGTATTTATACATTTATATCTTGGGAGGGTGGCACAGGTGATTCCATGGATGCTTGGAAGTTTCCGAGGCCAGGCTGGACGGGGTTTGGAGCACCCTGGGACGGTGGGAGGTGTCCCTGCCACAGCAGGGGTGGCACTGGCGATCTTTAATGTCTCTCCCTATCCAGGCCATTCCAGGATTCCACTGAAGGGAACTGAGTCCCCTCCTCAGCAGCTCCTCACATTTCATTTGTCCCTCTGACTCAGAGACACAAACATTTTGAGGTGTCTAATAAATGCAAATAAGCACCTCGTGGCTTTTCCTAGCCCTCCATCTTTCACTGAGCTCCAAATTACTGTTTTCAGTGACAATTGCAGGCACTTAAAATAAATGTGAAATCTCTCTGGGCTTTTGACAACCTCAGACTTTCCTTATCTCCCAGTCCAGCTGAGACACTGGTTCCAGAACAGGCTCTGTGGCTGCATCAGCTTCCCCAAGAACTCAGCAGCCAGACTCAGCTTGAGTTAATAACCCTGAGAGTTGAATGAGATGTTCTTTAATGTCCCTTCCAACCCAAGTCACTCCATGATTCCCTGATTCCATGGATTCCTCCTGCCTGACGGAGATTTGACTCAAGAGCTTCCCCCAAAAAGGAGTTTAATCCACCCAGATGAAGCATTTCTACATCACAGCAGCTTCCAGAAGACTTCAGATTTTCCTAAGCTCTTAAAGATTTTCCTAAAATCTTTTGGGTTTCTGAACCACAGCCTGACAAATAAAATAAAAAGATTCATAGAATTGTAAAATAGTTTGGGTGGGGAGGGACCCTAAAGATCATCTCATTCCCCGACCCCTGAGTTGTTCCTGTGGCTCTCACCTGGATAAAAGTCACAGGAAAGGGAAATCACCCATTTTATTGTCCTAAAACCTTGGGCTGCTCTGAGAGAAACTTGGGACCAAAGAGTGAAATGGAGGAAAGAACAAAAATTACAAAACTGCTTAAATGAAAGAGGACCCTCCAGAAATCTGGGGTTGGCAACAGGTAAAATCCTCACACCAACCCTGCCGGTGAGGATTTGAAACCCCCTCCATCCAGGAGGAGCGCGAACAGGAAAATATCGTGGCACAAACAAAAAAACAGCTGATGGGTGGGAAACGGAATGGAAAAAATTGAAATTGGGGATGTTGTTCTGGCGTCACCTCCAGAGTAGAGGCGTTGGGTCCCAGGTAGTCACCAGGACCTCCCTCTAATGAAGTTCTTGGGAGTTGTGGCTCTTAATTACAGTGCCTTGTGTCAGGGGAAAAAAACCTATCAATCAAAATGTGACTCTGCCATGGAGAACGAGGGGCAGCACACGGGGAAGGAGTCAACCCTCCGGAGTTGATGCAATCCCGGTTGCCCAACGACAAATCACTTAATAACTCCAGGGATAGGTTCATTTTTGCCACGGGAATATGCAACTGCCTCCAAAATTCCCTTCTAAGCAGATTGGGAAATTCCTCACTTATTAAAGTGCTGAGGAAAAAGTCATCGTTGGTTTTTCTCCTGACTGCGTCAAGTCGGAAATGCTAAAAATGAGACACAGAGATAAATATGAATATGAGGTTTTGTGTCAGCATCGCCATGAGGTGTCTAATTCCCAGGACAACCCTTTGGGAGATATAAAAGTCCAGCATCCCCTGTCCATCCTTCACTCAGCATCAGCTCCCTGAGCTCTTCCTCTTGCTCCTGCCAAGGGTGAGTTGGATTGTGTTGATTTATCGACTCTTGAGCAGCAGAAGTTCATAGAGTTCCGTGTTTAGACCTTGCCTTTGTCTCAGAAATTCCTTTTTTTTGATGGCTGGGTATCTGAACAGGCACAAGGAGTGCTTGGTTTTCTCACGGGTGGGATGGCAGGAAACAAGGGGCAATTGAAGGAGCAAATCTGCAAAGACAGGGAGTCTTTGGGAGCCAGCAAGGTAATTCACTCCCAGACTGACAGGAGATGGAGGCAGAGAGAGCTCAGACAAGTCAGAGCAGTTTTAGAAGGAAATTCTACCTTGAAAAGCCAACAGGAGCATCTTGGGAGGGAAATTCCCATCAGAGCCACACCATCACGGAGTGTCCTCCAAAAGGAAGGGTCACCATGTCCTGAACATCCCAAAACAGAGGGAAACAACATTTCCCATCCCAGTCCCAAAGAAGAGCCAAGGAGGGGGCAGCTGTCCCAGCCTGACCATCTCTCTCTTCCCTCCAACTCTGCCAGAACTCCAGCACGATGTGCTCCCGCGGATCTTGCCACGACTACGAGTCCTCCTGCCACGGATCCCGCTCCTCCTGCCACGGATCCCGCTCCTCCTGCCACAGATCCTGGTTCTCCTGCCACAGATCCCGCTCCTCCTGCCACGAGCCCGAGCCCTCCTGCCGCTACATCCAGAGGCAGCCGGTGCAGAAATGCACCTACGTGATGCCCTGCTGTCCCCCCGTGCAGCGCTACTGTCCCCCTGTCCCCTGCTGTCCCCCCGTGCAGCGCTACTGTCCCCCTGCCCCCTGCTGTCCCCAGGTCCCCTGCTGTCCCCAGGTGCCCTACTGCCCCCAGTACACCAAGAACATCTGGAACCTTCCGCCGGCGTGCACCAAGTACTGAACAGGATCCAGCCCCCGAAGCCGGAGCCGCCGGCTCCTCCCTTGGACACCCCGACCTCGGCTTGTCTCGTCCACGCTGAAACCCCTGGGTCTTCGCCATGTGGGGACGAAATGCTCCCCTAATTAACATTTATGGTGTCATTCTTGCTAATTATTCGGGAAATGTCCTTTTCTAATTATTCAGGGTGTAGTTATTTGTTGGGAATCTTTCTCTGTCTTGCACTTCTGTTTCAGACTCATCTGGGTGTGGGAAACAATAAATCTGATTCATGAGAACCTCGTTGCCTTTGAATTCCTTTATTCTCATTTTCCTTGATTTTTTTTTTTTTTGGGGTAATTTTTTCAGAGGTTTCCAAATCAAATATCTTTGTATTTCCAAAGTATCCCAGAATTTGGTGGCAAATAATTCCCACGTTCATTTGGGAATGAATGGAAATCAGTGAAGAAAAGGGGGAGATGGTTAAAGATTGGACTCGATGATCTCAGGGGGCTTTTCCATCTCAGTGATTCCAGGAAATTAAATGGAAGGGGAATAAGTAGGCCACATTGCTCCTTCTCAGTATGCAATAACTTACTCCGAGCTCTATTTCAGACCTTGGATATAAATTTTCAAATATTTGAAAGCCTCTGAGCCTCCACAAACAGAAGGCCCAAAATCCTGTGAAAGAAATGTGAACAAGGGATGATGGGAACTCTTCTGGGATCCCGTTTTACCGAACAGGCCTTGAATTTGAAAGGTTCAGAGATGTTTTTTGGGCGGTTTTGGAAGGCTCTTGAGGAGGTAGAAAGATTTTGGAGAGCATCAATGTGGACGAAAGGAGAACTGCCACACAAGCTCCTACTTTGTCACCTGGGTGGCTGCTGAGGGACCCTCACCTGAGTCACCGAATGTCCCTGAGGAATTCCTGCCATCCTCCCTTGCTCCACAAAACTCCCCATGAGGAACTGGCTGCCTTTACCATTGGGAACAGCTGTGGGACACCCCAGTTTGGGAGATTTTCCCTTCCCAGTCAGTGAATTGCTCTAATGGGCAACATTTTCCCAGGCTGAGGAGTTTCATTTCCTTGCACTTCAAACTGAGTCAAACAGGGCCAAAAATCCAGCTTTAGTGCCCAAACTTCCACCAGGAGTGACAAAACCCAGTATTTGCTCAAGCTTCAGCTCTTCTCCTCTGAATCCTTTGGTGAGGTCAGGTGAAAAAAATGTGAGGGATTGCAGAAGGAATGAGAAACCAAGGAATAGGAAAATTTAATGTCTTCAAACCTCATACAGAGCTCAGGGTCAGATGTTTTTCTCTTTAATAACCTGTGATTCACGTGGAACAACCTGATGGGATCATCCCAGTCATCTGCCAAGCTGAGGGACACGTGAAGAATCAGGAACATTTTATTTCTTGCCAGCCCAGGGAGCTGAGGAGATCCCGACGGATTTTCCGGCGTTGTGCCATCCCTAGGAATTGCAGGCGGTAATCCCATTTCCTCTTGGCACTCAACAACAGGGGAATTAAAACCCTGAGCTGTCACCTGCACCCAACGGGAGACCAAACCCAAGAGTCAGCGTTTCTGAGACTTTTCTGTGCCTGATGCAATCCCGGGTGTCCCTCATCCCTAATTAACGCCCGTCACATCAGTGTCAGTCTCCAGGAAATGGGAGAGAGCTGCCCTTCCGAAATCCCTGCCGTAGGAATCACCAGCGGGACGGGGCCCGGTGCGTCAAGGAGGGAACACCTAAAATCAGGGGAAGTGCAAACATCTGCGGGATTGAGTGCAGAATTAATTAAGGTGTCATCGTGAGGAGGTGCCTCACACCCCAAATAACCTCGGGAGAGGATAAAAGGTCCCTCAGCCCCGTCCTCCGCAGTCGCTCGCCTTTGCTTCCAGAAACTTCTCGCTGCAGCTGAAGAGGGTAAGATCAACGTCACCATTTCTGTTCTTTAAACCTCCACGAGAGGTTTTTATGGATCTCGTGGCAGCTGGGATTTAGGGAAGTGCCTCCTGTGTATGCTGAGGGAGGGAGGGATGGGAAATGGCGGATGGAGGACAAGGATTTCTGGGAATCCTGGGAAAGATGCAGCCCCCAGAGGGATCCTCGGGTGACACAAATGCTGCTGGAGCTGGGGCTTGGCAGATGGGCTCCTGGGGCTCCAACTGATTCACAGGGACCTGATTTCACACCCCAATTCCCAGAGCACACCAAGCAGACCTGGCAGGATCGAGAGGGTGTTGGGTCTGGATTAGGCAGGGGGAAAAAGGAGAGAAACAGTTCACAGGAGACATCAAGAAAAAATATTATTAAAAAGAAAAGTGGGGATATAACAAGAGAACCAGAGCTTCCTCTCACCACATTGATCCCTTGCTCCAAACAGCTTTGCCAGAACTCCAGCACGATGTGCTCCCGCGGATCTTGCCACGACTACGAGTCCTCCTGCCACGGATCCCGCTCCTCCTGCCACGGATCCAGCTCCTGCCACTCGAGGCCCTCGTGCCACTACACCATCCAGAGGCAGCCTGTGCAGAAGTTCAGCTACGTGACGCCCTGCTGCCCCCCGGTGCAGCCCTGCTACCCTCCAGTGCAGCGTTACTGCCCCCCCGTGCAGCCCTGCTGCCCCCCAGTGCAGCGTTACTGCCCCCCGGTCTGCCCCCAGGTCACCAAGAACATCTGCAAGCTGCCACCGTCCTACCCCAAGTACTGAGGGCAGGATCCAGCACCAGAATGCACCAGCTCGCTCCTCACCCGCAGCTTCCAGCTCGTCCCAGTGCTTGTGGCTCTGCAGCTTTGTCACTTCTCTCCAAGAAAAACCTTCTGAAACTGCCAGAGGTGGTGCAGTTTTAGGATGAAACCTCTCGGTTTAAGGAGCTCTGATCTGTTTATCTTTCCTCTGCCAACGCTGGGAATGGTTCGCTTCTTGCTTTGCTGCTTTGTCCTCCAGCAAGACAATAAAAATGGTGTTTCAAGCCAACCGAACAGTCCCGGATGTTTTCAGTCACTGCTCCATTAAATGGGCTGGGTCGGTGGGCCAGAGGGGCATTGAGGGGCTGGAGTGTGGCAGAGAAGGGAAGGGAGCTGGGGAAGGGGCTGGGGCAGCAGAAGGGTCTGGACAACTCCTGGTGGGGGTCAGCTGGCAGGAAAGGAGGCTCGGTGGAACATCAGGAGGAATTTCCTCCTGGAAAAGATGGTCAGGCCTTGGAAAGAGCTGCCCGGGGAAGTTTGGAGTAGCCATCCCTGGAGGTGTCCGAGGAAGGCCTGGAGGTGGCACTCAGTGCCCTGGGCTGGGTGACAAGTTGGGGATCAGGCACAGGTTGGATTTGGTAGACTGGGACCTCTTTCTCTGGGATTTCTCTGGGATTCCATGCTGGTGTGGTGGCACCTCAGTTTTCCTGTGGGTTTGGAATCATAATTTAATCCCTGGAGCTGGAGGAATGCCAAGAAAACATTAAATACATGGAAAATTCCTGCAGGGCTGGGAGGAGCTTGTGGGGTGAATTGCTGGGGGAAACAAATCCTTGCCCTAGGCTCAGCAGCTGTTTGGGTTCAGGTTTCCACCTTACCTGTGTGTTCATGTTTTCCCCACGTGTTTCTGCTTTCAGAGCCACTGCTATTTTTGGAACCGAAATAAAATCAAATCCTGCAGGATTTGGAACATGGAACAGCCTCAATTAACCAGTTTCTGCAGTGTAAAATAAGTGAAGGTTTCCCCAGTGTGATTCATCCCTCATCACCCATCCGTGGCATGGGAAACAGCCTGGAATGAGCTGAGTGCTGCAATAGCCACTAAATGACCACTTGGTCAATAAGCAATTGGAATTAGTTATTTATAGGTTCTGGAGAAAATGCTCATTAGAGAGGAATGGGTTAAAAAGGAAAAGTTGAGGTCGGGACAGAGACCAATGAATGATTCACCTGCCTGGGGGTTCTTGCCCTTGCTAAGAGGTGGCTCAGCCTCACAGGAGCCTGAAAAAATGATTTTCTTACTCATTCCTGCCCTGCCTGCAGGTGGGAATTGAGTTAGTGAGGTTTCACGGCCATAGCAGTGGTTTGGTCTTCAAGCAGAAACTTTCACTGCCCTGTGCTGCCCCAGCTTCCAGCTTTCTCCTCCATGACTGACCATGGCACGTTTTATTTCCTTTTCCAAATCTGGAGAAGGCCATAAAGTTGATAAGAGAACCTTTCCCCCTGGACCAGGCTGTGAATGTTGGGAATGTTGAGTCTGTGGAGACCCCAGAGCCCCTCCAGGATCTGCAGAGGCTCCAGGGAAGCTGGAGAGGGACTTTTCCTCATGAACTGCAGGGACAGGACACAGGGAAATTATTTCAGAGTGATGGAAAGGAGTTTAAGGTGGGATATAAGGAAGAAATTGTTCCCTGGGAAGGTGGGGAGGCCTCAAAGAACCACAAATATTTGGCAAGAGAAATCCTCTTCTCCAGGTGGCCTGAAGGGACATTTCTGCTCTGCTAAGAACACAGTGGATTCCACAACCTGGACAAACTGTGAGGAAACCCCCAGGGATTAACGGTGAGGAATTTGCCTCAGGATTGCCTTCCTGGATCTCCAATCCAAACAAACAGCGCTCTGCTCCTCTGGGCATCTTTCAGAGCCTGCACAGTCCTTTCACTCAAAGCAAAATATAATTCGACATTTTTATGGCCCTAATTTGAATATTTTCCTCTCTGAAATCACTGTTGGATCTATGAATCCACCTCACAGAGCTTTAAACTCCTCTGGTGTTCACATCCAACTGCAACAATGGGGGTTTTTTGGCTCAGTGGATGAACCCATGCACCAAATCCGTACAAAGTCAACATAAAAAGGCCTTGTTTTGGCCAAACTCTCTTCCGCCACCTCCCTGCTCAGGAAGTCCCACATTTCTAATGCTGGAGTTTCTCTGGAGGCTCTGGAATCCCCTGCAGATCTCCCAGAGCCGCGGGGGCCCAGCCGGGTTCGAATGTCAATCACTAATTAGGAGATAATGGGCGGCGCCCTGCTCAAGGTCATTAACAAGCTGAAGCCAATAGGAAATTAAGCTCCAAGGGAACAGGAACGTTGACCTTGGGATGGCCTTGCCTGGAGAAGTGGTGACTCCACGGTCCTGTGAATTCCTCGAAGGACCAGCTCCTCAAATTGTGACGTGGCCAAACATCAAGAGCCGAACTGAGGGGAAACCGAGGATTGGTGTCACCAGGAACCAAACAGAAGGTTCTGGTGGCCCAAAGTGTCCTCAACATCCAGAATTCAATGAGCAAACACACTCTAAATCTCTCCTCCCTCACGCCAGAAGAAGTGAAGCGTCTCCAGGAATGCAGGGGGTCCTTCGGTGCTCAGCCCCCGTTTCCACCCCTGTGGGTGACCTCAGACACCAAACATTTCCCCTGACGGAGAGAGATCATTTTTTAATAAAGTCGTGGTTTAATTTGAGATCCTCGAGATGCTCAGGACATCACACGGAGCTTTTATGCAAAATAGATATTAACATCCGTCATTAATGGCTGATCACAACATGATCATTAGCATCAGCACTAATCGCTGCCAGCGGGTGACTGGGAGCTGAGCACGGAGTTTTTCCAGAATCAACATCCGTGGGTGGCTCTTCCATTACTCCAGGGCATCTTGGAATCTGGAAAGAATTGAATAGGAATTTTGCAGATCAAGTTATGCCCAGCATAAACAGAATGCAAAACTTCCAGAGCGTTTTTGCATTTTGCTTTTGTTTAAATGCGCCAAAGAGGAATTGGAAAAATGCAGGCTCCGATTTGACCAGAAACCAATTCTGAATTTCCACAATTAATTTGCAGTGAAAATGTCTGATATTGGCAAGGCCTTGAGCCTGAGAGAGCTCAAGGATAGTTTGGACAATGACCTCGGGCACGGGCTGGAATTTTTGGGTGCAGGGCCAGGAGTTGGTCTGGATGGCCCCTGTGGGTCCCTTCCAGCCTGGGATGTTCCATGATTCTATTCCTAGATGTTTTCCCATGCAGAGGTTCGATGAGGGATGGGACGTCAAGAACTTTCTGGGTTTGCCCTTCTGGTGGCCCCGGAGAAGGACTTTGGACTCCACCATTTCTGCATTCAGACACAAAGCACGGAACCATGGAATTGCACTTCCTGGAATTCTATTTTAAAAATCATATCAAGGAGCAACTGACGTCCAGAAGCTTCTGCACGCCTCTGGAATCCACTGCATCTCAATCTTAATTAGGATTTTTATGTCAATTAATCATCTCCATGCAGCAGCCTTACCATATGCAAAGCGAGCAGAAACAACGCCTTTGAGCGTCCCACAAGAATTAAGTCGACATTAAAAAATTGTAAAAAATTCACACAACAAATTGATAATAACCCAAAATTGAAGGGTTGGTCAAAAGCCACGAGGCAAAGACTAAACACATGAAGGCCCATTGGGTGAATAAGTACAGGCTTAGTGCGTAAATCACGGATTGCTGGGGGGTACCTCATGTCCGGCAGGACAACTCCGACCTGAATAAAAGGTCTCCAGGTGCCTCTGCTCCTCACACAGCTTCTGCTCTCAGCAAGAACAAGAACGGTGAGTGCTCCCTACCAGGGATGCTTGGTTCTCATTTGGCTTTGGGCAAGCGATGAATTGAGGCTGAGTTGTTGTGTCTGATCTCTGCAGGGTGTTGGGCTGGATGGACCTTCAAAGGTGCCTTCCGATCCAAAATGTTCTTTGGTTCTATGTCTTTGTGATTCCATGGGTTTACGCTTCCAAGGTTTTGCAATTCCATGGTTTTAGTGTTATGGGGTTCCATGAGCTACAGTTCTCTCTGAAATCCAGATGTTTCTGAGACTGTTGATCTGTTGACTCTTGGAAAAGATGGATAGAGCACAGTGGAAAATGAGTTGCTCGGGGTGGAAATTCAGAGAGGGAACATCTTGGATGAGCACAGTGTGGGCAGCTCCCAGGAGAGTTCAAATATCTCTGCAACAGAGCAACAGTTGGTTCGATTCCTGCAAGGATCTTGGGTTTCCAACTCAAGAAAAGAAATAGGAACGGGGTGGGATGAGGGCCGGGGCAGTGTGGAAAGATGGATTGAATCTCAAAGTCCTTTGTGTTCCAGGTCCTCGCTCCGGCCACCCTTCACTCCTCTCCCAACACCATGTGCTCCACTGGATGCTGTTCCACGGGATGCTGCTCTGTCGTGAAGAGCAAGACCGTGTGCTGCACTCCCTGCAAGACTGTGTGCTGTAGCCCATGCAAGACTGTGTGTTGCAGCCCCTGCAAGCCCGTGTGCTGCAGCCCATGCAAGACTAGGTGCTGCACCCCCTGCAAGACTGTGTGCTGCAGCCCCTGCCAGAAGCCCTGCTGTGACCCGTGCCAGTCCTGCTGTGACCCCTGCCAGTCCTGCTGTGACCCGTGCCAGAAGCCTTGCTGTGACCCGTGCCAGTCCTGCTGTGATCCGTGCCAGAAGCCTTGCTGTGACCCGTGCCAGTCCTGCTGCGACCCCTGCGAGTCCCGCTGTGATCCATGCCAGCCAGAAGCCTTGCTGTGACCCGTGCCAGACCTGCTGTGACCCGTGCCAGACTTGCTGTGACCCATGCCAGAAGCCTTGCTGTGACCCGTGCCAGACCTGCTGTGACCCGTGCCAGACTTGCTGTGACCCATGCCAGAAGCCTTGCTGTGACCCGTGCCAGTCCTGCTGTGACCCGTGCCAGTCTGTGTGCTGCACCAAGGTGTGCCAGAAGTCCGTGTGCTGTGTCCCACGGCCCTGCTGCAGCCCCTGCGGGTCCCTGTCCTGCTGCTCCTGCGTGGTGAAGAAGCCCGTGATGGTTTGCTGCACCCCCGTGAGGAAGTACTGCACCCCCTGCATCCCCATCCAGCAGTGCTGCGCCAGCCTCAAGAAGACCTGCTGAGCTAACCCAGCTGGCTCAGAGAATGGGCACAAGGAGCTGAAAAGCTGCTCATTTGCCTCCAGTTCTCATGGTGATGGAGCCAATTCATAGAGATTTTCTTCTTCTTTCCAAGCTTAAGCTGTTGCTTCTTTCTGTCCTTTAGTTATCGATGGTCTTTAATTATTGACTGCCTGAGTTTACCGCTCATTGTATAAGGCATTAGATATTAGTGGGGTGTTAATTCTCCTCTTGGTTTTTGGGAAACCTTTGGTGTCAATGTGACCACTCTTCATTTCCTCTCTTGACTTGTAGACAATAAAACTTAGCATTAAGCAAAACACAACATTTGGTCTTGTGGTTGTTCTTACACGGCTTTGCCCTTAATTTGTCACCTTGCCCAGAATTTGTCACTTTGCCCAGGATTTATCACCTTGCCCAGTTCTTGTCACCTTGCCCAGTATTTGTCACTTTGCCCAGAGTTTGTCCTCATTCCGCCACCATCTGTGCCTTTGGCCAAGGTCCTGGGTGTGCCCCAGTGGGGACACAAAGAGCTGTCCAGGCTCTTGGCACAAATTAGGTCACATCTGAAGCAAGTGGAGCATTCCTGATCCTCTGGAATGGGTGCCCAGAGGAGCTGTGGGTGCCCCTGGATCTCTGGAAGTGTCCAAGGCCAGGTTGGAGCAGCCTGGGATAGTGGGAGGTGTCTCATGGCAAGGGGAGGAATGGGATGAGCTTTAAAGTCCTTTCCAGCCCAAACCATTCCTTGATTCCTCCTTGCACCTCCTGAGCATTCACCTCAGCTCAGAATTTACTACAGAACGGAAAGTTGAAGTAATTAAAACTCAAAGGGCAAGGGCTGATTGAGGCATAACTGCACCGTCTGAAAACACAGCAAACCATTAATCAGAGACCCCCCTGAATATCCTGACTTGGAAAGGGTCCACCAGGATCATGGAGCCCATCTCCTGCCCCCCGACAGACACCCCAAAATCCCACCCTGTCCCCAAGAGCATTACCCAAATGCTCCTGGAGTTCTGGCAGCCTTGAGGCTGTGCCCATTCCCTGGGGAGCCTGGGCAATGCCCCACCACCCTCTGGGAGAAGAACTTTCCAGAAATATCCAACCTAGACCTTCCCTGGCACAGCTCCAGCCATTCCCTCAGATCCTGGCCCTGGTCCCAGCACTGAGACGGGAGCTGCCCCTCGGGAGGAAGTTGTGGACAGCTGTGAGGTGCACAGGAGCTCACCCCTTACCTCCAAAGGGGTGTTCCAAGAGGTACCAGGAGGAGTTCACTACTCACTGGACAGCAGGCAGCATCTTCTTCCCACCACCATCTTCCAAAAAGAAAAGCTTAGAAACCCCCCTGAATCCTTGAATTTTTACGGGAGCACAGCGTTTCCCCCGCGCATTCCAAGCCGAGAATGAAACCCAGGGTTGGCATCCAACCTAAAAGCCTCATTCCTGAAATAGCAAACCCGTGAGTCAATGATACCTTCCCTCCCTGCCTGGGACTTTCTTTGCTATTAATATGCAGGACTCAGCTCGGAATTGCAGGTCTGGAGAAAATGCCCGGAGCTCTGGCTTGATTTGCTTCCTCCAACCTTCACACACGACATCTGCATTAAAATCATCTTCTCTACGTGTTTGACTCTCTGAAAACATTGCTTGGGTCCTCAGGAGGGTTTTTATTATTGTAAATTAGACAGACGGATATCCCAGATCAGAATACTCAATAAAGTGCTTTCTCTTTAGGGAATCTTGTGAATATTCATTCCATCTTTGAATCAGAGAATCATGGGATGGGTTGGCTTGGAAGGGGAGTCAAAAACCACCTCGTTCCAACACCCCTGCCATGGACAGGGACACCTGCAGCTAGACCAGAGCTTCATCCAACGTGGCCTTACCCTTCACTGGAAAAGCTGCAGGAAAAGATTCATAAATTCTCAAATTTATGAATCTTTTCCTGGGTCTCAAACTCACAGAACCACCATGGAAGTTTCCAAAAACATCACAGGATGGGGCATGGCCTATAAAAGAAACTTTGTGGGAATGTTATTTCTGACCCAAGCGCAGGTTAAATGGCATTGAACCGCAGGGAAAATGCTCTAAATACTGACAGTGGTGGGATGGCTCAGCCTGGAGAAGAGACAGGTTTAGATGGGATATTGGGAAGAAATCCTTCCATGTGAGGGTAGCAATGCCCTGGCATGGGATATTCCATGGGTGCCTCATCCCTGGATGTGTCCAAGGCCAGGCTGGATGGGGCTTGAAGCAACCTGGGATAGTGGAAGGTGTCCCTCCCCATCCAGGAGGGTTGGACTGGATGATTTTGGGGTTTCTTCCAACCCAAATCATTCCGTATTTCTATGACTACAATACCAAGATCATCTTGGCCAACAGGACAGCAATAAAACCCGATAAAAATGTGATGAATGATTGATTCAAGGGAGATGTTTGAGGGTTTACACAAGGAGGACGTTGCTTCCTGCAGGCGACTCTTGGTTATTATTGAGTGACCAAAACAATGTTCCCCTGGGGACAATTCCAGAGGGGACACCCGACGTCACAAGAGATCATGGTCACATCCTGGAAAGGCAGATCCTGTCCCAGTCACCAGGGATCACCTGCCACCACGTCAGCCTCACAGTCAGAGTCTCCTGGATGTGATGGCAGCCTCTTTTTGCCTGGAATTGGTGCTGCCTCAGCATCCTGGAATTCCCGTCTTTTACCAGAGGCCCCTCTCATCACATGGAAACACCATCAACATCTTCTAACGTGAAGCTGTCCCTGCTCTGCATGTGGCCACAGTTCCTCATGTGAACACTCAAATGTGATCACCACAAGTCTCCTCAGTCCCAGAAACCTTTGGGATAATCTCAAAAAATGGGATGTGTGGAACCAACACAGGGAAAAACCCTCCCGTGTGCACTGCTGCCTTGAAAGCCACTTTGTTTAGACTCAACCCATCCATTCCATGAATGAACATTTAAAAAATCTTAATAATAGAACAAAAATTACAAAACAGGGAGTGTGAGGACCCAGCACCCTGAAGGGAGGCCCAAGAGCAAGAGTGAGAAAGGGGAAATTTCAGCCTAAACTTTGACTATAGAGGCAGGAAAAAAAGGATTCCCATTGACCAAAAATTTCCACCCACCGGCCCCCAGAGATCCCGGCCAAGGGCAGAGGGGACACATGAGCAATGACAACTCCAAGTTCCAGGCGTGGTTGTCCCACTGCTTCAGCACCTGGCTCCCCCAGGCACATTGTTAAGTGTCCCTGTGTCCCAAGGTCATTCCTTGGGAAGGGATGGGAATACCTCAGAGCTCCCTCCCTCCCGGCGCCATTAACGCAAATCCATTAGAAAATTTGCATCTGTTGTTCCTCTGGAGGAGTAATTATGGGACACAATTGAGGTGGTGAGCAAACAGAAAGAGGCAGAGATTAAACACCGGAAGACACGTGAGGGGATACACCGGGTGATCCAGGGGGTCGGAATTGCCAAGGGATGCCTCATTTCCAGGGGAAGAGGCTTTGGAGCGTATAAAAGACTCCCCATCCCAGGGGTCTTCATTCGATCATCTCGACTTCTCCTCTCCTCCCTCCACTGCTCAGCAGGGTAAGTTGGACTTTGCTACTTGTCTTTACTTTGGGACTCTCTTTCCGTAGGCTTCTCCAGCATTTTCTGGGCTGTTTGGTTTGGGACTGGACTGCAGAAGATTTGGGATCTCAGATTGGTTTTGGGGACCAGAGATTGGTTTTGGGCTGTGCCCAGGTGGATTCTCTCTGGCAGAACCAGTGTTGGACATAATGCCAGAAGCACAGGAGGCTGTCCTGGGATTCAGGACACCAGGCACATCCCTGGCCAGTTTGGGATGGATTTGGGGATAAGAATGCTTTAAGCTGCCTCAGCCTCTGGGAGATTGAAGCAGAGAAAAAGACCAACTCTCTCTTTCCCTTCCAGCTTCGCCTCCACTCCCATCACCAAGATGCCCAACGGATGCTGCGGTGGCGGAAGTAGCTACACCATGTGCTGCTACAGCAGCCCCAAGACCTGCAAGAAGCCAATGTGCTGCAGCTCCATGCAGTGCTGCAGCCCCTGCTGCAGCCCCTGCTGCATGCCCTGCTGCATGCCCATGCAGTCCTGCTGCATGCCTTGCTGCTACACCATCATCCTGCTGCAGCCCTTGCTGCATGCCCTGCTGCATGCCCATGCAGTCCTGCTGCATGTCCATGCCCTGCTGCTACACCATCAGCAGCAACAACAGCGGCTGCTGTGGCAGCAGCAGCAGCAGCGGCTGCTGCGGCAGCAGCTAAACCCACCCGGCTTGTTCCCTCTTGGATACGGATTTGGATATGGATAACACCCCAAACGCTCCTCCTCCTGTGCTTAGAAGCTGTAGAACTCCTCTTCTTCTCCTGCCTTCCCTCACCTCCTGCGTGTGATGTGCCCTGAAGCCGCCGCCCAGCGAGTTTCTCCTGTGAGCGCTGGCGCTGCTCTTCGTTCTCCTCTTGGTGCGTGGGATGTTTCACTCTTTTCATCACTGTTTTGCTTCAATCTTTCTGGAAAAAACCAATAAAATCTGTAGTTTGTGACCCTGCAACCTCCTGGTGTTGAGTTGTTTGTTTGCTGGTGGATCCAGAGGGTTTTGCCGCGCCTTTCGCCTTTTCCTGGTGTTTTTTTCCCAGTGTTGGGATTCTCCTGTCTCCAAGGTATTCACTCAAATAAAATCAGGGCATCTATGATGTAAATTAATTAAAACTGGAGTTTCTGACACCTCTGGGAGTGATATTTTCCCTCTTTGTATAAAATAGCAGAGGACTAGAAAGAGAATAGGAGAAAAAATGGTTGAGTGGAGATCTCGCAGCACCTTCCAGGATATGGAGTGGCTCCAGAGAAGCTGGAGAGGGACTTTTCATCAGGAACTGCAGTGACAGGACAAGGGGGAGTGGGGTCAGACTGACAGAGGGAAGTGGCTCCAGAGAAGCCGGAGAGGGACTTTTCATCAGGAACTGCAGTGACA